AGTCGGTATGATAGAAGAGAATATTACTTGGGCCCCCAATCCCTTCAACATTCTTCCCAAAACCCTGAGATCCCTCTTAATAGTCCGGATGTTTCTTTTCCTAAAGTCATCAATACCAACTTGGAAAATAAGAAGAGGATAGTAATCCGTGGGCCTGACTATAGATGGGAGTTTTTTTATCACATCCCTAATTGTTGCCCCAGGAAGGGAGCAGACCTCCCTATGTAAAGGGTCAGGTCTACAAGTCTGGCCCTCCACACCCCTCAAAAGGGAGTCACCTAAAACAATCACCCACCTTTTCTTCTTAACTGAGGATGTCTGAATGATATGTGTGGTCCTTGGGCAGGATACTAGCATGTGTGTATTGTCACCCTCCCTGGGGGTCGGTTCCACTTGCAGAGCTTCATATCTGTTGTGCAACGGAACCTGGGAGGTAGTTGTGGGAGCAGAGGGGGCAGGCTTGCCGCGCCAGGCAGGGACCTGCTGCCATTGCTCATTCCCACCTGGATTCCTCTTCCTGGCCAGGCGGGGAGAGGGTGGGGGCTCCTCAGTCTGAGAAGCTGTGGTAGCCTGTTGGGTCTGCGGGAGGGAGCACAGGGTGCTGGTCCATTGGTCAATCTCCCTCTCGCACTCCCTGATGGCCCTCAACCTGTTTACCTCCTCTCTGAGCTCTGTCACCAGGCGGAGAATATGTCTCTGTATATAGAGATGTAAAAATATCTCTCTCCTCTTTGCCCCACTTTGTGTTCAATAGTGCTCTCACACTATTCATAGCCAGATATGTACTGAATTTGGGAAATATCTTTGTGAATGTTGCTTTCCTTACACCAAAGTTCTTCCTTTACTGCTAACCATCACCTCTCTGAAACACAGAAGCAAGAAAACTACTATGTAATAAAATACAAACTTGAAGAATAATGTCCGAGTCAATAGCTAGGTGTTGTCATCCTTTAAATTAGTTTAAGTAAATTACTCTGGTGTATATAGCACTAATTTCTTCTGGACATGAAGCAACACTAAATTGGTCTCCTACAAGACACGTCAATTCATAACATGAGAGGATAACAAAGAGGAAGACAGAGGAGGTGCTTAAGACTGTACGTAATTATATTTTTCTCACCAGTTTCCTACACTTTAGCACTTTTTTTCTCACATCTTTAGATATGGTGAAGACTGTCTATATTCCAGCAGAATGTCTTACAACAAGGTACGTGATAATAGAAAAAGTGCAATTATAGAATTTGTTCTTGCCTGTGTATAAAGTTGAAGCCTGGTCAAACAAAGTACCACTGGTAGGTTTATCTTGGTGCTGTATGAAATGCATTTTCGTTAACCTGCTTTCTCACCGCTTGTGAATAAGTGGAAAAACTTCGTTTGGTTGCAGCTGTGGTAAGAAACAAGGTGAGAGCATTTATTCTTTCCAAATTAGCTCCTTCATTTACTTCAAGTCGTTTTTATCTTTCTTATCTACAGATGGTAATAGTGGTTGGAGATGTCCAGCTTGTCAGAATGCTTCTACGCAAGTTCCTAAAACTTACACTTGTTTCTGTGGTGAGTTTCTTGCTTTTGCAAAGAATAACAATTCTGTTATTTTGTTTCTTTTTTTTTTTTAACTTAAATTCTGCTATTGCTGCTTGTTTGCCTACATCCTTGAAATTTAACCTTGTTTAAAACTTTATTGATACTGGAAGATGACTGCACGGAGAATAACATATGTTGCTTAAAATATTTAAAAAATTAAATACTAAATGGTAAGTGATAAATATTTTCATATCACTATGTAGAAATAGTGATTTTGGTGGAATAATGATAGAATTGGGCTGCAATGCTACAAGCTTTCTTTCTTCAGAAGGACTGAAATAACCTGTGTGTGTTATACCTTTCTTTGTGGCAAGATACACCAAAATAATACACAATTCAAGGTTAATATTAGCAGAGCACCATGTTGGAACATATGACTTTAATCTTCTGTACATAATTTTGCATTAAAGATACAGCATTTGGACATCACCAGTTGCTTATGCAAAGTTATCTTCTGTTTGATGCAAAATACCAACTAGGTGTTGCCTGTGGTTAAGTGTGTTTTTTTTCCACTGTTCCATGTGGAAATTCCTAGCTTATTTTTCTTCTGAATCTTCTAATTTTCTCGATTTTCCTGGGTATTCAACTAGTTTAATTGAAACTCAGGTGAATAAATGCCATCTGTGGTGTTTATTTGTGTTTTCCTAACTTGCTACTTGTACGTAAAAGGTGTACTAAAAGAGTTAAAAGAACTGTGTCACCAAAAATTCATTTTCTTGGTGTTTTTAATTGTTGCAACTCAAATTTGTAACATTGGCTCTGTTGCTTCACTGTCAATTTAATACCCCTCTTGCAGAGAGCCAAAATTATCCAAAATACAGAACACTGGACGCTAACATACTGGATTTATCACTTCTTGTTCAAGAATTCCTGTTGCATTCATCAAAATGTCAACCTTTAATGTTTAGAGTTGTGTAGTCTCCTTTTTAGAGAAGTGACTTTTACAATTTGCCCAGTCATTTTGTTCTGTCTCTTTTTTCCATCACTTTACCAGCTAGATCTTACTTTCTGGGAATGGTATCTCCCCGCCACTCCCTTTTCTTCTGCACTGAGGTAGTAAGGGAGTTTAACTCTTTAATTTTCTTACCTGCTATGCAGCCTTACCAACTAAGGGGGCTTTTAATTCCTTGTATTTTATCAGTTTAGTGTAAAATACTAGCTAAGTGCCGAAGGAAAAAGTCTTCTGGAGCTGGATAATCCAGTGGCACTTACTGTTGAAGAAGTTGAGTATATATCAGCACTAAAAGCTGAGAAAAACATAAAACATCTTGTGCCATTTTGTTTTTTACAGACTACTGCTGCCACTATTGAAAATACAGCTTTTGCTTTTTAGTGTGACGTTTTTCCCAAATTGAGTATTGTATTCAAGACAATAAGTATGTTTTTGTATTTGACATGGTTTAGGTAAGGTGCACAATCCTGAATGGAATAGAAATGAAATCCCACATAGCTGTGGGGAACTCTGTGGGAAGAAGAGACAGTGTTTGGACTGTCCACATCTTTGTAACATGTAAGTAAATGTTAAACATTTAATAAACATGTTTAATGTCTATATTAATGATGTTAATCACATGTTTAAACATGAGACCTTCAACTAAATCAGAAGGTGGCAAATTCGGAACGCGTCAAATGCGTTCTGCTAGGCAGGGCGTCTCCTTGCAAGAAATCGATGCCAATAATTAATAACATCCTGATATGGGTGATAAGAATGTCCAGAGTTCTCAACATCCCATAGACGCTTTTGGAAACGATTATTGAAGCTTGTACCCTGGTTAAGAAGAGATCGGGATGATAACCAGGTTCAGGCAAGAAGTGTGTTGTGTGTTAGGGGGGTCTGATTGGTCATAGTTTTCTCCTTTGCGGTGTTAGACCATCATTTTTGAGGCCTTTGTCTCTAGGCACTATCTAAAGTAATGAAACGTAAAACCATTCTGCATGTTTTCAGTTTGAAACAGAGCTGGGCTTCCCAAGGTTTTGTGGCCCTGGGTGGTTATGGCTTTTGGATTATTTGTCTTCTCTTGAAAGGAATGTCCGAAATTGGTGTTCAAATGTGAAAACTCAGCTTACAGAGGTGCAGCAGTTCCTCAGCCTGCTGTTGCCCGTAACCAGCTTACACCTCCGCGTTGATCTCCTCTAGAGCACCAGAACAATGATTTTTCTGCTGACGTGGTGTTTTGGTTATTCGTTTGTGTTTCGGGCTGTGGGAGTTTGCTTTCTTTTTTCCCCCTCCTCCAACCTCGCGTATGGATTTTATGAGTGGTTGGCCAATTCCTAACTGTATTTCCTCACTCCGACTGGGTTTTGAAATGTAGATGTCATTGTGTTCATCTCCTTCGATGGTTTAGAGGTTAGTTGGAGGCTTGCGTTAAGCGTGGCACTAGCTAGCCTGTTTTGGTGAGAATGAGTGCAGCTAATTTACACTGGTTTAAATTTACAAATCTTCAAAATTTGCTCAGATTTATTGAATTGGGTTAGTAACCATTCACATAAACAGTTCTCTTGGTGGAGCTGAGGACCAGGCAGGCCACTGTTGGGAAGAGGAGCGCTTTGCCAGCCTTTTGCTAGCGTGAGCTGTGGTGTGCATAGCACTTCACAAAGTCAGTTCTCCTCACATTTTTAGTTGAAATACACTGAAATTCTCTCTTTAGGCTCTACAGCAAAGAAACATATAACTTAATCTTCAAGAAAATATTCCTGATAATAAACGTCATGACAAACTTAAACTTCTTGTATGACTCTGAAGTTCTCCCTGCCAACTGGAACTGTGCAAGGCCCAGAGAGCATTTGAAAAATGTTTTACAAAGGCAGTAAATGAAATTTTCTCTCTACTAGTTTAAATTTTAGTGTCTGGTTTTCCTTTGTAGATCTTTTGGTGCTGTAATCTTTTGCACAGCAGTTACTGGAAATCCCTTTGGGCTGTCTTACAATATCTGGTATTTTCACTGTCGGGCAAATGGAAGGTTAATTTTTTCCGATGTCTAGGTGTATCTGTCATTGCAGCCTTTCTTGTGTGCCAGTTTTCTAGAGCAGCAGCAGTAAATTGTGAAATAAATCCTCCATGCTAATGATAGATAATCGAGTTTCAGTAAAAACAAGACTCTGCATTCACTGAACGGAAGTTGATACTGAAGTCTGCAGCGTATCTTTTTGAGTTTAGTTTGTAACACTTAAGTCATTTAACTTTTTGCTTAAAAACTCTAAGGTATCAGCCATCTTGATCATCTAAAGATAATTTTCTGCACTTTGTGCGTCTGTGTGCTGAACGAAATTTGAATTTCTATCATAACTGTTGTTGTGTTTATCAAGTAAATCCTGGAAGTGTAGACATGCCGTAGCTTCTGGATAAACCCAAGCATGCCAGAGACTTTTGCTGAAGGAGCGGCGTGCAGGTGTGTGTATCTGGAGGGATACACGGAGAATACTCACTTTTGACATCAGAAGTTTGGCTTTAAAGGGTTAGGTTTTGAATTGCTATAATTTTTCTGTTCATATTAACAAAATGACACAAGCTTACTTAAAACTGTGTCAGAAACACGCGTTATCAAAACTTAGTGATGTTTGGAAATTAATCGCGTGATGCTCTTCTGGCAGAAGGGATCTTGCTCTAAGACTGCAGTAGGCTGTTGTAGGTGTTTACGACCTACAAATATCTGCAATCAGTATAAATTGCTGTTGTGTGGTGTAGCATCACTGGAAAGTGTGGCAGGACTGGGCTCATGGGAGTACTGTCAGCATTGCTTGAATATGACAGTGTTGAAGAAAATAATATGCCAGGTAGAAAACAACATGACAATATTTCTGAAGGTGGTGTGTCTTCTCCCTTTTGCAAGTTAGGACCTAGATCATAATATTTTGAGTTCATCTCTACTTTTGATCTGATTCTTAAGTTTATAAGCTGGTATCCAGCCTTTAGAATCCTACATGGGTCAGTGAGAATTGAAGTAAGGACAGTGAAATATGTAGTGCTGTCCTTTTACGAGAGGTTTCCTGTTACAGAATGCGTAAGTTCTCATTGTCTGAAGTTCCACGATGCAGTTTTAATTAGTTTAATGGTTTTACTTTTTTCCTGTTTTCCTCTGTCGTGTTTTTCCTGCTCCATCCAGTTTTGCTCTTTTCTCCTTTTCCTTGTGCCTGCTCTGGTGCTTATTTAACTCTTCGTTATGCCGTAAACCTGACTTATCAAAGAGAGGGGATTGTGGTTTCTTTGGCTTGTTTTAGGGTTTTGGTGATATTTTTTTTGTGTTGAGTTGGTTTCTTGTGTAATGGCTTGGCTCAACAAGTTGAGTTGACGCGTATCTGCTGGTGAAATGCAAAATATGAAATGTGTTAGTGGCATTGGTACTGTTGATCTGACAGCAG